GAGTGCTGGTTACTGCATCGACTTCTAAGTCAAGATCTTTAATAGTTACTGCAGAAAATCTACTTAGCACCTGACCTGGCTACCCGTCCAGACACCACGAGAGATAACCGTTGTTGAAAGTATCTGTTCAGCGCCAGAAGTGATTATCAGTTATGGCAATCTAGCCATGCGCTAGACGAAATCAGTTCTTTGTCGAGAGATTTTCCGACCGGAGTAGATATACACCTACCAAAAATTCCGCATTATTATCGAGTCTTCCAGAGTGAAGAACGCTAGCTGGGATATTTTGGGCACCAGCGTGATCCCGTGGGCTTAAAGGAACAGAAGTATAAACTCCTCACCTTGTCGAAAGAAACAAGCAACTGTGAAATACCTTACCTTACTCAGGAATTCATACATATGTATGCATGTATGTACATACATATTGATGGTGCTCTGCAATAACGACACAATCCAAAATTCTAAAATTGTCTAACCCTTAATACTTTACTTAAGCGATCCTTACTACTTACTTTAGTAAGGACAAGACGTAGACAAGGATTAGAGGCATAAGACACTTGAAAGTAGTAGGTTTTTTTTGAATTTGGAGTTGTGCTGTTATTGCAGAAGACCATCGATATGTAGATATTCACATAAATCATAAATTATGATTTATCAAGGAATATACGCATAATAATATTGGAAAATCACATCCATTGGGCCAATTGCAACGCAGGAGCGTTCGATATACTCAATGGCGCAACAGGTCGATTTAATCTGACCTTCACGGCCCCTTTTCTCACTTAGCTATTTTTAGTAATAGCTCGACTTCAGCACCACTTGGCAGCACGTTTTTGCAATAGTATTGCATACATATTTAAAACATTAGCCAAATCGGATCATAAATAAGATTTTTAGTAATAACTCAACTACAGCGCCAACTGTCGGATTAAATTGTGAAACTAAACCATCCAGAGACCCACTCAAATACAGAAAAAGTTTCGTTAAAATCCGTACAACCATTTAGGAGGATTTCACTCACAAACACACCTACAGAAGAATAAAAAAATTCATTCAAATATAGCTAAAGGTCGGTACGTTTGTAGGCCTCACACCCCTTTTCAAATAGCCCAAATTTTCTCCATGAGTATGGGCTTGATTTCAACTATATACATATCTCCATACGAAGTTCCAGTACTGTACCATGAATACTTTCAGAGATATGCAGTATAAAAATTTGATTTATATGGGAGGAGCCACGCCCTCCTTTCCAACAGCTGCCCTCTTTCTTCATGAGTATGCGATTGATTTCGTGTATCTCCATACCAAGTTCCAGAACTCTACCATGAACACTTCCAAAGATATTCGGTTTGTATGGAAGATGCCACGCCCCCTTTTCCAATAGTTCCAATTTTTCTCCAAGAGTATGCGATTTATTTCGTACATCTCCATACAAAACTCTAGAACTCTACCAAAAAATTTCCAGAGATAAGCAGTATGAAAAATTCGGTTTGTATGGGAGATGTCACACCCCTTATCACAATGGCTAAAATTTTTCTCCAAGGGTATGCGATTGATTTCGTATATCTCCATACCAATTTCCAAAACTCTACCATGCACACTTTCAGAGATATGTAGCATGAGAAATTCGGTTTGTATGGGAAGTGCCACGCCCCCTTTACATATAGATTTTTTTCAGCCTAAACCATCCTTGGGACACGTGCGGCAGGTGGCAGTTGCAAAAAAATCGGTTCAGCCGCTCTCGAGCCTTGCGAAAACTAACAAACGGCTTTCTAAATATATATTAGTTGAGATATATTATATATTATAATTATATTTTCACAGTATCCGTTCTCTTGCCTAGTGACGAATTCGCCCCTTGATATGGCCGTTACTTAAAGCTATTTATATTCGAAATTGCATGAAAATTGTAAAACAGGAATCTATAAGCTTATCCAGGCAAAAAGCTACCTACGTACCGAATTTTAAGCAAATCGGACCATAAATACGATTTCTTCGAACAGATCGGTCCCTGGTCCACTTCTCGGGCAAAATGGATCATATATGCTAAAAAGCTACCTACGTACCGAATTTTAAGCAAATCGGACCGTAAATACGATTTTTTCGAATAGATCAGTCCCTGGTCCACTTCTCGGGAAAAATTGACCATATATCCTAATATATGCTAAAAAAACTACTTACGTACCGAATTTTAAGCAAATCGGACCATAAATACGATTTTTTGGAATAGATCGGTCCCTGGTCCACTTCTCGGAAAAAATTTATCACATATGCTAATACATGCTAAAAAGCTACCTGCGCACCGAATTTTAAGAAAATCGGACCGTAAATTCGATTTTTTCGAATAGATCGGTCCCTGGACCACTTCCCGGAAAAAATGGGTCATATATGCTAATATATGCTAAAAAGCTACTTACGTACTAAATTTTAAGCAAATCGGACTATAATAAGATTTTTTCGAATAGACCGGTCCCGGATACAAAAATTTTTAGAGGTCAAAGTCTTCCATGTATTTTATATGGGAAAAAAACAACTTTTCGTAGAATTAGTATGAAATTCTCTGTTCTCTGTTTCTCTTCAGGAGATTCCCGGCAATAAAACCCAGTTATTTATTAAACCATTTTTTCATAGTAACTATATTTTATAGGTGCACCAAAACCGCCAGAAAAATCCAGTGGGTGTATAAATAAAAAATCTTTTGTATTAGAAGATGTTTAAATAAACAATTATTATTAGAAGTATCTTGAAGAAAACCAGAGTTTTCCGATCGAAAAATATTGATTTACAAGAATTCCATGCCATTTCTAAAAAAAATTGTTTTCCCGCATTGAGCGACCTCTAAAAATTGTTTTTTTATTTTTTAATGGTATTTTTTTCGATATAGAACAATCCTAGGAGTTGAGAGCATTAAAATTCCGACTTTATTTATTTTGGACTACCCTGATGTACATATGTATGTATATAATTTTGCAAACTCTTAAACCCATAGGTTTAACATGGGCTTTTGAAAGCGTCACCAGTTCTCCTCGCGATGAATATCGTTGTCCGCGCAGTTTATATTTGATCTACGGGATCAAAAACAACCATTATCGGCCAAATGAGGACTAAACGGGCGATGACGATCCAACAGATAATTTGAATGACTAGAGGTGTGAGAGCTCGCATTGGCTTGATGAAAGGATATTTGTCGTCTTTCGTTGTTTTTCCTCTATTCGTCCAAAACTGTTTGACAAACACACTCAGAATTAGCCACTTGCGACGAATAAACAAGCGACAATTTTTTTTATTTAGTTACATATCGAGCCTCATCCGCCAAAAAAGGTAGATGAAATCTTTTTGAAAATTTTCTGTTTAATGCAGAAATGCATCTAGATGCTCTAGAAACTTTTCTGCATTCAAAAGAAAATTTAAAAAACTGCCAAGTTAATTAAATAGAATGGAAATTTATTTAACACGGTTGTTTTCAGTAGCAAAATAAAATATAATTTGAGTAAACTTATTAACTGAATTTTTGTTTTTTAATTTTTGTGGAAAAACGGCAATAAAAATATTTCAAAATAAATCGTTAATAGGCCAGAAAATAACAAAAACAAAATATTGAAAATTTTTCTTTACGGAGCTAGGAGCAAAGTCATTTTTTTGCTCTTTGCTTCAGCTCCGCTCCAGCTAAAATCATTTGCTCTTTAGTTCCCTGCTCCTTTGCTCCGCTCCGCTGCGAAGTCCTGCTCTGGACATCTATCACTAGCTACTTTTATTTTTACTACAGTTGGCCACGGTCTTAAAATGCCGCCGAACATTGTGTAGAAATTCCTCAAGCCTTCGCACTTATAAATTTAAGTGGGCTTAGCCAATTATTGTATTTTTTAAAAGCAATTTAGCGAAAGTTTATTAAAACTTAGAATACAAATTTTTTCAGGATCCTGTTAATCGAAAGGAAAGTTTTCTTATTTACAGTTACCAAAGAAAACCTTTTTAAAACTAAATGTTCACAAAAATTTTCAAACAAAAAATATTGGGAATTATCAGCCGCACCTTAACCTTAATCGAACCGAACTTTTATGGTCGAAGTACTCTGAGATCTTTCTGTTGTATCTATTAATTCTTTTTCGAAAAAAAATTAAAAACGCCTGTTTAGTAACTGCATACTAAATAAAATTATGCCGCGGCAAGATATTTAAAATTTAACCAAAAATTGTGTAAATCCCATGAATCGTTTGGAATCGTCGAATCATTTGGCAGCACTAGTTTTCACATACATACATAAATACATATGCACCTAAACGCTTATTATTTATCTATGTTTTGTCTTGTTGTAAATATTAATTTAGTACTTTGCAGTCTCTTATAAATGCTTACTACCTTTGCATTTGGCTGTTATATATACTTATTGTCATGTATGTTACCACATTGCCAGTTGCCAATGTTATCTTATCTTTGTTATTTTTAAGTTAGCTTGAATGATTCTATTTCGATTTAAAAAGTACATATATGTATAACTGATTATTGGTAAGGAAATTGTTATTGAAGTCAAATGTGTGCCTTTATTTAACAAATAGCACGGTAGAAAATAATACAAAAAATAGAAAGAATTATAACGTCAATACAGCAAATGGGTGAGTAGTTATGTACATATGTATGTGTATGTGTGGGCGTTTTTATTAGCTTTTACGCAGGTCAAAGTTTCTTGTACATACATACATATTTGTCAATTTTATATG